AAACATCCCTAAACCCTTTTCAGCTACTGGCTGCGAGGTCGAAAGCCCTCGAGGATGCGCTGAACTCCCCAGCCAAGGACTTGGGCCATGACCTCAGGGATTCTCTATCCTGAGCAGCAGGCACTTAGGAAGAAAGTATGTTCTTACGTGCGCGAGTCTAAGTGCTGATGTCGCTTTCGTGGATAGTTGAGCCCTCAGCCAAGAGCTGCATGAACCCAGGCTATCAAGCACTGGCTATTTAGCGTGATGTTGGCGTGTGCTGTCGTATCTGCTAGCTTCGTGATGGTGATTCTTCTGTCGGGTGTCCTGAGCCGACTCCGAAAAAGCCTTGAGCACTAAAAGGAGTCTTAACCCCAAATCGGAGGGATGATGTCTGAATGAGACCCTGAACCCTCAACCCTAAACCCTGAGCCTGATCTCAGGCTGGGGCGGCTTGCTCCCATGGAGCTTCAACGAGGATCTGCAGGGCGGTGCCACTGTCGACAACCTGAAAATATTCTCATACAACCGTAAAATCGCAGTCGCCGTATACAAGTATATGGCGTATACATATATATATATATATATTATATGTGTGTGTCTATCTATCTATCTATCGATCTATCTATTTATCTATCTATCTACCTATCTATCTATCTATGCATACTAGGACATAGACACCCATAGTATAAATACATGACGATACAGTAGTACTAGCATAGGAAAGTAGCAACAGTATAGCTAGATTAGGTAGTATGGTAATATACTCCAATCGCAAAACTCTTAAAATAGTAGTTGCATTGCATTTCATTAGCATATATACTGGCAAAAAAGATTAAGAGAAAAAAACATAAACTACGATACTAGAGTACTATGAAGACACAGCAATAGATGGACTCGGAAAAGCAGGTGGCGCAACTGGTGAAGGCTGATGACGGCATGGGTAAGTTATAGTGTTGCATTAAAGCTAAGTTCTTGATTATCCTACTGAAAGGGTTTAGGGTTTGGGGTTTGGGGTTTAGGGTTGCTGTTGTAATGACTATGCGATTTCAGAGGAACGGGCCCTTGCAAGGACTGGAAAAAGTCCTTCGACGCGCTTCGGGGGCCTTTTGGGAGCCGCAGACTCGTCGTCAGAGCTCGTTCTAGGGGTCAGGGTTTAGGGTTTAGGGTTTAGGGCCTCGGGACAGTGAAGTGCGGCTACCTATAGGGGCACGCAGGGGGTTGAGTGATAGTTGCTTAGCAATGCTCCGGTTTCCTAAGCCTGATTAAACATCGACTTGGGCTGTGACGCGTTCGGCCTACAAAGTGTTTGGTTCGGTGAGAAGAGGATCTGCGCTTGAAGTACTAGTAGGGCCAGAATTCAGGTTGCATCATCGAGTAACCCTGCCTCTAACTGTCCTTATCTTCAACTAGCAGGTTGCATGCCTATCCCAGCGCATGAGGTGGTGGTCTAGTGGTGGCCCCGATCCTGTCGGAGCTGATCTTGAATCGCTATTTGTCCACAGATGCTCGGGCAGCCCAGCTTAGGCACAGCTGTGCGAGGGATACTTGGACAGTGTCCAAGATAGTTAGGTTGGTGCTTGCAGTGAAGCATGAAAATGCCGGGTCAACCATGCACCTTCGTCCAGCAAGATGCATGGCTCTTGTTGAACCGCACACCAGAAAGATCTGTCTAGTTCTAGCAGCACCGATACTTCTCAACATGGTGATGATTTCAAGACTGTACTGCAACCCGCCCCCCCCCCCCTCCCGAGAAGCCGAGAAGTACGCCAGGGTTGCAAACGAAAACCGAACTCCCCGACGCTACGCTGAATCTGGAGAGCAGTCCAATCCGATCCATCTCGAGACACCACAGCAACAGCAAGCTGTAAATGTCTACCCCAGGAGCAGTCGACTATTGTCATCAGTACCATTGGGGTTAGTATTGTTAGTAGTGTTCGTATTGCTAGTATTGCTATTGCTATGATTTCTGTCATTGCTGTTCTTACTATGACTAGCTCTTACACCTTACTCATCGGGTGTATGAGGTTTGGCCTTTCGTCGAGGACATCGTCAGCTCGTGGGACCGCAGCGTGATGACCGTTCGACGTTCACACCTCTACACCCCGGCTCTACACAAGACAACCCGGGAGACTCATCAGATCGCTTCAACTACCTTAGAAGCTGGATGCACAGGCAGATGCTGCAGGGAGGGCAATATCCGTGTTTGCACATGGAGGACTTTGATCGCGTGATTCCCGCGCACTTCGAGGCCCCTGTGCCTGCGACTGGCCAGGACGCTTGGAGTGTGGAGTTTATCCGCGGTTTCGAACATGCCTGATTTTACGGCCCCAATGTGAATCCATCCTCAGACTCTTAGGCTTCAGGGTGTTTAGGGTTCTGGGACGCTATGGTCATCGCACAGGGGCGTGAGCTCCCCGGATGGCCATGCACATCACCCGTGCAGCACGTTTTTGCTGCGCCGGCGCTGCCACACCGACCAGCCCACTGCCATGACGATCCCCCAGGGCGAGTCCTAAACCCTAGACCCGAAACACAAAAACCCCTAAACCCAAGCCCTAAACCCTGAACCCTATACCCTAAACCCTAAACCCTAAACCCTAAACCCTGAACCCTGAACCCTAAACCCTAAACCCTAAACCCTAAACCTAGACTGCTTTGAGATCCTTCGTTCCCGTGCTAAAGGGGCCTTCTTTCGAGGACTTCCGCGACGCTTTTCGCAGATCTTTCGGTGAGCCAAAGCCCTCCGGGCCCTTGGCTGCCGTGACCGGTAGGGCACCCAGCAACCGAATAGGGTTTAGGGTTTAGGGTTCAGGGCTTAGGGTTTAGGGCATAGGGCCTAGGGCTTAGGGCTTAGGTTTTAGGGCTTAGGGCTTAGGATTCAGGGTTTAGGGTGGCGTTGCAGTGACGGTTTGAGGGAACAAACCGACGCCCTGAGGGAACAACATCATGCAGCTACCAGCATGCTGATGGAACCGGAATGCCATGGAATCGCACAGCAAGAGCTGTGCTCTGTGAATGGGCTACCGTATCGGGCAAACATCACATGTCCTAGCTTGGCTTCGGCAATCAATGGCCAGATTCAAAAATGTGTGGCTATTGGCTCAAAACGCTTGGGGGGGGCAGCTCCGCAAAATGCAGGAATGCCTCTTCGGGAGGACAAGTAGAACAGCACTGCTTGCTGTGCTTCTCAGACAGAGTGATGGCCAACTTTCTGAGGCCAGGGCTTCACGCTTTTGATCTCGAGACCTCTTAAGGCAACCGCGTAATTTCTATAGTGTGGCGCAGAGGAGTTCAGGCATCCAGGGAAGGAAGGAGAGCGACAGAGCAAGAATGCAGATGGAAAAGAAGAGCTTGACGGAAGCAAGAACGACAGACATTGCCTTATTGGCATTCTCTACTTACGATACCCAAACAAAGCACAACTTAGCATCCAAAGTGCTCACAGGATTGGGCGTCCTTGTGTGCTTAGTCACCATATTTCCCTAGACCCGAAGCATCGAGACGATGAGTAAGCAGACGTGTAAAAGCAGCTGCTATGACTGCTATGAGGAGTACCTTTCATGTCTTCGCTATAAGTTCTAAGGCTGCGTGCGAGTACAACCAAAGCCCGTAGGAAAATACTATCTTCGCATTAGTTAATTACCAAATGTTCTTTCTCATGTCGAATGCAGCCGTTAGTTCAAAAGGTGCAACTCGCAAGGGGAGGGCGCTCAGCCACCGTAGTTACTGATCAGCTGCTTGTAGTTCTGACGTCTTTGAGGTCTGCCCTTGGTGATTCATTTGGCCTGCCAGTGCTATCAGCTATTCATGGAGATGTTATGGGAGAGGGGTCTAGCGGGGGGGGGGGGGGGTTCTGAGGGGCTCCATAAAGCCTTGGCAAGCATTCGCTAAGCACTCGCTAGCGCTCGGACCTTGAGAGTTTCTCGACAAAAAACTGTTGTTGAGTGCTTACTGAGGGCTTGCTAAGCAATCACTGCGCCCACCCCCGGTCAGACCCCCCTCCCATAACATCTCCACGAGCTATCGCATGTTCTTGATATCGGTTGCTCCAGCTGCTCGTTTAAGCTGCAGGTCGTGTTTGTGATTCCAACATGTATCCACATAAATTCAGGGTGCGAACTATCACATTTGGCGATCACTTGCACTCCTCATGCTGATATGCTGATGTCTGCAGGCTTGCGGCCCGAATACCTGCGCTCTGTGCTGCAGCGCAACGAACTACAACTGCAGTTTGCCAGGCAGGTCGAGCGCTGCGTCGGTTAATGTTCATGTGCACGGGGCGCCCACGTTTGCTCGGCTTGCCACCTTCTGTGTTCACATGGGCGGCTAATACCTTTGGAATGTCTTTGCTGACTTCCTACTGCTGGAAACAATTTGTCCTTGCCAGGGCAGGAGTTCCTAACTCCTGGGCAGTACCACCACCTTACAGCGAACTACCTGTCCTTCGCCACCGAGACATCTTCTCCGAACTTGTTGGTCCGAGCCCGCGAGTTCCAGGCGCTTTTCATGAAAGAGTGCAGCCCCACAGACTTCACCATCTTGACACCAAAGCTGGACCGAGCTCAAGCGCCCTGTGAGGAGTGCACTGGTGGCCGGATCGTTTTTTCCGAGGCGTTGAATATCTGGGAGGATCCCATCAGGGACCTGGGCACCAAGGCCGCCAGATTTCAACCTTGACTTGAGCAGTCGTGCTGCCTTGTGGCATCTGCTTGGCTGGTTGATCCCGCAACCAGGACAGTCCAGGTCTTGGGATCTATCACGGATATATGATGAGCTACTCTCACTATCCGGAAGCTCGGTTTTTGAGCCGAGTGTGTTCATGAGAGTTGGGACAGCCAGGGTTGCTGGTGTTGTGCCGCTGCCTTGCTATCCTACCTGACAGGCCAAACATGTGCTCATGTCATCTATGTTCTGCAGCCCTTGTGTAGCAAACCCTACAACCATCCACATGCAAACACCGCCCTCAACTCCTCGCTCAAACCGCAAAGACTGGCCAAGGAAGCGAGTCATCTGGGATTGGTCGAGGCTCTTCATCCGCGTCTTGCCCGGTCTAATGAGGCCCTGCAATGGGAGAGCGTTTTCCCGCAGGCGCACCGCTCGGCTTGTGACGTTGTGATGGCTTGCAGGTTAGGATCCCTTTTGGCATCTGTTCTGAATACGAGCCATCCACATACCCTTCAGTGTGCACCCTGCAGGTGCAAAGGATGGGAAGATATAGGAGCAATTTTGGGATGCAAATGCATCGGATGCATCTGCATGCAATTGCCTGTAGCCCGCCTCATAGCCTGCCCGTGAGTTCGTACTCACTGCAGGAGAAATGGCACCGACCAGTTGGACTTCCTTATGTACGACGGCGACTTTTTCGTCCCAATCGTAAGATTAGACTTGCTGGAACGGGACAATGTTCCATTGCCCAACACGTGGGACGAAGCCCTCGCTGTTGCTGCAAGACGCTCCGAAGCAATACGATACCATGCTTGCTACTTGCATCATGAAAGCCCACGCTCTTGTTTTTTGGGAGTTTTCTTGCCACCACAAGCTTATGGGTATTTCCTACAACAGGGTTTTATACCCCAAATAGATCAGAATCCCCTTTTAGGGACCCCCAAAAAAGGTACCCCTAACAAAGGGCACCCCTAGTTTCGGAAGCCACCTTATGACTCCAGGATACAATGGCACCGACCTCAACGAAGACGGCGAGCCAGACTTTGGTTTCTGCCACTTTCCACGGGAAGGTGCCGGGTACTGGGCAGCTTGGCCCCCCGATTTTTCCCGCTGCGCAATCTTGCGAGTAAGCCTGATCCAGCTGTGCCTGTGGTTCCACTGCAGTATTCAGGATTGGTGGTGGGCTGAGATTGTTTATGCTATTTGGGCGACCTACTCTCAGACCCAGGACATACCTGCTAGACTGAAGGCCAATGTGTAACTGTGGCAGCGTGCGCAAGAGCAGGACACTTCCCAGGGCTTCCTGTTCGACAAGCAGACGATGAAGCCGAATTTAGACAGACCAGGATTCAGAGAAGCCGCAAGGATTATGAAAACCATGTGGAAGGCGCGGACGCCACTCCTAAATCGGATAAAGGGGTTCCTGGGTGATCAAGGATGGGAGCGGTGGTTGAAATCCGGAACCGCAACCCCTTCCATTCCTTCCAACGCAAAAGGTCGGGGCAGACGGCTGCATCAGCGATCCCTGTCTGCAGTGACCTTCACGTGGGAGTCAGTCCGGGTGTATCCATTTTGTTTAAAACTCGAACGAACCTGGTACCATTAGGGTACCCGAAACCATCATTCAGCAGAAGCGGCCATGTGCAACTCCGACCTTGTCTTAGGACTCCTTCAGCACAGGACCCTGGGGCATGTTTCTCGCGGACCTGTCTTGGCCCCCTTGGGGCACTTGAATGTTTCCTCATATTTTGTGCTCACTACAAGGGGAACGTTAGTAGAGAAGGGGGCTTAGTCGTATGATTGTTCTCTCAGAGCTCAGAAGTCTACAAGTCCGGCGGAAGGCTCAAGGTTGGAGTAGCAGTGCAAGTGCGTGCAGGGTTTAGAGTGCCATTCGGGCGTGGACGACACATCACATCAGCCATAGGAAGGGAATGCTCTTGGTGTTGGTGCTCCCACTTCAAGAAATCGACAGCCATTTCAGAAAAGGCTTCCCTGCCAAAACACTGCACTGTACTTGTATAACAAAAGACACACCCTCCTCCACCCAAGTAACCTCCATCAGAATTACTACTTCGTGCTGTTGATTTAGGATGCCCCTGTACTGCTGATCAAGACCTCAAGCGGAACCCAGCCATCCTCCACCCCTTCCATCGCCATTCTGCGCAGGAAGGTGTGCCATTGGGTTCGCACCTCCCGGATGCTGGAAAGGTTGGGCCAGGGCTTGCTGGAGGTTAGGGGAACAAGTTATATGTTCCGGAAAGAGATGAAGTGCCAATGTAGCAAGGGTTCGGGGAGCCAGCAGGTTTACAGCAAGATTCCACAGTGTGACTTATGACGAGGCATCTTCCTCAACGGCATCGGGCGGAAGAATTCAAGCGGCCACGTCATCTGGCAACCCACCATGCAGGACACCCGTAGGAAGGTGAAAGGCCAGAACGAGTAGAATCTTGATGAGGCCTAAACCCCCAAACCCTAAACCCTAAACCCTAAACCCTAAACCCTAAACCCTAAACCCTAAACCCTAAACCCTAAACCCTAAACCCTAAACCCTAAACCCTAAACCCTAAACCCTAAACCCTCAAGCAATGCAGGATGGCAGCTACGCAGATCCCTATCGCTTCAAGCCTTTCGGAAGCACAAGGGTGGAGGCCGATGGCGTCATGAAGGACTGCTCGCCCTCCAGACCTTGAAACTCCTAGATTGTTCCCAAAACCCTCAACCTAAACCCTAAGCCCTAAAACCTAAGCCCTTAAACCTTAAACCCTAAACCCTAAGCCCCTAAACCCTACGTAAGCCTCTAAACCCTAAGCCCCAAACCCTAAACCCCAAACCCTTGTCCCGACTCGCGCCTCGCCAGCTTTGCACACGCCCTTTTTTGTCTCGGCGCAAATTGCCTCCGACTGACGCCCCAGCCATGCCGTGGAGCTAACACGTCATGATAAATAGCACGCTATGACAGATTAAATAAATAGCGAATAATAATAATAACAGTAGTAATAATAATAATATTAATAATAGGAATAATAGTAATAATCATGAACAATAACTAAAGCAACAATAGCAATAACAATAATGATAATAATCAAAAATAATCATCATAAGAATCATCAATGATCATAATGATCATAATGCCACACTGGCCAGGAGTGCACCGACTATGTCTGCCCTCACGGGGAGGCTATCCCACTTCGAGGCCATCATGGTCCTAACGTGCCATGACTTAACTCCGCGAGCAAGCAGGGTTTAGGGTTTAGGGTTTAGGGTTTAGGGTTTAGGGTTTAGGGTTTAGGGTTTAGGGTTTAGGGTTTAGGGTTTAGGGTTTAGGGTTTAGGGTTTAGGGTTTAGGGTTTAGGGTTTAGGGTTTAGGGTTTAGGGTTCCCTCATCCCTCCTTTTCGATCCAATGCCGCTTTCGCTTTAAGGACCGTGCGCGGGTGCTTCCCCCGTCTCCGCTTGCTGGGCGGCGGATTAACAGAGCCCCCTTCTTCTGGAGCGGCGGCTTGGGACTTCTGATACGGAGGTCAGCTCCCGAAGTGCTCAAAGACACCTGGACTTAGACGATTGTCTCACGATGTCTCCAGTATACCTTGGGCACTGCGCAGGAGAGCAATGTTTCTCTCTCCTGAACATGGACCCAGTCGAACGCAGACCCAAACCCTGTGTCTATCCTTCACCCGTAGGGTATGGGTTGTCGCAGCAAATCAAGGAGGGGGGGATGGTGTCTTGAGGTTGGATTGGTTAAGGCATGCCCCAGAACATGGTGTATGGTGCACCTGTCATGCGTCTTGGGGCTTGGGTTCGTGTCCCAGAGACTGCTGATATCTGGGAGGTCATTCCGGCACGGCCAAGAATCCAGTAGTTGGATGTCATGTAGGTTTGGGATTAAGGCGTCGGGTCTTCGCAGCTTCTTGGCTTCGGTTTGTGTCCAAGGTTTTGTGTTCAAGGTTTCAAGTTCACGTGGAGCGATTCGCACCACAGAGTATCTGACGGGTTCGTACTTATGCCGGTTGCATCTCCCCATCTGCGGCTGGCAAACCTCACTCGCAAGTGCTCGTCTGAACCAAGGATATGTTGTGGGATTTCATGGTCTACACCAACAGCCCCCACACAGCAGACGAGGACGTTGCAAAGTGGCTCGGCCTTTCGCTCTCCACAATGGCACAGTCCCAACAAGCATCTGGTTGCCCTTGCGGACCTTGCTGAGGATGCGTGTTCTTCTACCCTCTCCACCCAAGGTACGCCAGTTGGTTAGACTCCTGGCGGAGCACGCAGCTTCCTCCTGATGGCGCAAACTTCCTTGAAGCAGGTTGGTCGCAGGCCAGAGGCTTCAAGGGACGCCATAGAATCCATAGAGCAGACTTCTACGAAATTGCTACTTGTTGCTTCGGGCCAGCAAAACAGTTGGCAGTGAAGGCAAGCTTTGATTGGAGACTGTTTGAGACCCTGCTTGTATGCAGTATGGATGCAGACAGGAGACACGAGCACCAGCTGTCAAGCTGCCCTCATTTCCTCCACGCCCTCAAGCCTCCCCCCTGTAAGAAGCAACCCTAAACCCTAAACATCTGCGCAGGAAGCATATGCGGAGCACCGCGCGGTGATGTTGTGGGCACTCTCTGAGACCGGCAACGGCGCGTTCAACCTTCGACTGCCAGGCTGCTCTTGGCTGCATCACGCCATCACGCTACATGTGTAGGGTTTAGGCTTTAGGGCTTAGGGTTTAGGGCTTAGGGCTTAGGGTTTAGGCTTTAGGGTTTAGGGCTTAGGGCTTAGGGTTTAAGGTTTAGGAGGCATAAAATTCGCCTGCCTCAGATCCAAGGAAGATAGCCACTCCTGGGCTGCCCCGACCTAGTAACTCTGCAGTCAGGTCAGCCCAGTTGCACCAGACCCATGGAACCCTTCCCCGGGTTGTTTTAAAACAAGTCTCGGGTTGTTTTAAAACAACTTGTCTTAAAACAACCCGAAACTTGTTTTAAAACAACCTAGCTTCAAAACCCCCAAGAAGCCTACAACCAACACATGAATTTCTGGGGCCATCCCATCCGTCGAATCACAGGTGCCAAGGTGTACACACACACGGTTCTGGCAACAGACATGGCCTACTACATTGCTGACGCCATTGATGAGACAGAGTTGATTCGACGCGCCTCGATCGCACACACTAGAACACTGGACGTTTCGACAAGCGCCGCCTCCACAGTTAGTCACGAAAGCCTACACCATTAGTACCATTCAGGAAGTTCCTCAGCGCAAATGATCGCAGGCGTCGATGCAGGTTGGCGGTCAGAGACCCAAGAGCGCGGTAAGTTGGATCAGCTTGCGATCTATCGCGCCACCTTGGGTCTAGATGAGTTGTCGGAGACTTGGCGGCTCTACGCGACACGGTTTTTACTTTCACAACATCATAAATCCGCCGTTCAGGAGGCAGCTTTACGCAGAAGCCACCAATCTCCTGAGCCGTCGCCTGATCGCCCTCTGCCCGGCCATACAGCTTAGCGGAAGAGACAAACCCTAAAACACCAAACCCTACTTCGATTCACCGATGCTTCAAAGCCAACAAACCCACATTCAGGAGTATGACCTATGTCTCCTACATCGTGAAGAGATGGATTCCCGGGATCCGACTGTGTGCCCCTTGTGGCTTGGGCTCAAGGAAGCAGAGTCTTTCTATGAAAGAGTGGGATGTTTTGGGCATGCGGAAAACTGCTGCTGGGTCGTTCAATGCAGCCCGGCAAGGTTCTTCCCGAATTCCGACGGAGTTTATCTCACCGCTTTGGTTGTCGGACTCTCAGTGCATGACAGCGTGGGGGTGTACGATATTAGGGGTACCTTATTGGGGTCCTTATTATAAGGGGATCCTACTATTTGGGGGTCCATTTTATCAACCCCCATGTCTCTTGCCTTCAAGCTTCCACGATTGGCTGCAGCAGGGTGGCAGGCTTGTCAGCCAGCGACAAGCTCGCGGGGAGGACACGAAAGATCATGAATAGTAAAAGTGAGCGTACCAACCTTCGTAGTCTGTATCAAGAACCATACTGTCCATAGCCAAGATGCGGAGCATCGTAAGACTCACCATGATCGCAATCATCATAGTAACAGGTGGCGGTTGCTGTATTCAGAATCGCAATGAACCCGATCATAATCATTTAGATGTCGCTACCAGAATGTCACAAGGAGCATAGAGTTGCAGCTAGTTCAAAATGATGATTAAACAAGAACAGTAAAGTTACTAGTAATTTTAGTTGCGGTAGTAATAGTAGCAGCAGCAAAAGTAGCAATAATCAACTAGAAATAGCCGTCGCCCAAATGGCAAGGATAGCAGTGCTAATCGTAATCATAGTACGAATAGTCAACTTAGTCGCAGTACTTCTGCAGCAACATGAATAGTACGAAATGCAACCGTTTCAATGACAGCAATAATCGTGATAATCGTAGAAAAGTATTGAAGCATAGTAACAGTACAAGGACAATAGTGGCATGATGATGGTGATGATGATGTTGGTGATGATGATGGTGGTGATGGTGATGATGATTTTCGATCATGATCATACCAGAAATTACACTTCCTTGAGGTCATTCTCAGCCTGATGGTGTTCTCTGGCATCTTTGCGGGCGTTGCGTACGTGTACAGTACGGCCCAAGCCAAGAAGCGCCTCCTCAAGGACGTGCGAAGCACGTGCGAAGATGTGCGAAGCACTTCGAGCAGTTTGGGGTTTAGGGTCTTTGACTCTTCAGACGGAATCCTAAACCCGGCTAATGCCATTTGGTGCGAGGAGAAAGAGGAGCAGCTGGAGAACACCGTGCAGCGGGGCTTGTCCACGGTACCCTGCCCGGATTGTGCCTGACATCCGGGAAATACTGATGTGTGCTTGTCTGTGTGTGTGTCCAAAGCGATTGAAGCTGTTGACACCTCGTGACTTAGGTAAAAGAGCTCGGATACCCAATGTCAGTGATCCGCGCAAAGGCAGGGAGCATGATTCCGGAGTCAGGGGTGTCCATGAGGCAATGCGTTCTAGGCTGGGTTTGGGGTCGCTTCTCCGAGTGCTTCGAAAACAAAGAGCCGAACAGCTCGCGAGTGTGTGTGCCTCTGCATCTGCAGCCGAGCTGCCTGCATACATTCAGACGCCAAATTCGGTGCAACAACAAACTTCATGGGCCCAATACCCCCCTCATAGACATCCGAACAACCCCCCCTCATAGACCTTCGAACCCCCCTTCCCCCCCCCCCCCCCAACTGCCCTAATCTCGTCGAGGATTTTGTGGAGCTGAGCAGCGACATGCTGGAGAGCTGCCACGAGGGCCTCCGGGATCTGGGCTTGCTCAGGGTGCTGGACAGCACGGAGGACGGTTTTTTGGGCGCTTCGGGCCAGTAGGTGTGTGGGGGTTTAGGGAATTTGGGGTTTAGGATGGCTTAAGGCCTTAGTAGGGGGGGGGGGCATTGAAAGACCCTGGTTGCAGTGGTGCCTTATGATGGACCACAGCTGATATCCAGCTTTTTTTGTTTGGGGGGGCGGGGGGGGGGGGGGGGGGGGGGGGGGGGGGACCTTTCAGGAGATATCCCATTTTCACATGATGGGGAATCACATCGTCTTCTTCAGCTATCACTGGCCATCCTGGGACCGCTTTGGCCCAGACAACATCCAGCGACGGGCCATGGATCACGCCCTCGAGCTCTTTGGGCAAAAGGTTGGTGCATCCTTGGAGACCATTTTTGTCTGGCTGGCTCCTTGGCAGAGTCTGGAACTTTTCTGCAAAAACACTTAAGAACTCGAGCCAGCAATGCACGCCAAAACGGCAAGACACCAAGATGTACAGTACCACTTTTGAGTGTAGAACTCAGGACATCGTCTCCATCCCTCAGAAGCATCGTGGGGTCCAAGTGCTTGCAATCAACTCTTTGTATGTGCTTGCCTCAGCTTAGTGTGCATGGCGATGACAAGCCGGGCGTTTTGGGGCGGGGGGAGTGGGGGAGCCACTTTTCTGTAGGATCCTGCAACCGATTCCAGACTTGTCGAGTGAAGGTCTACGCATCCTCCGTTGACGCCCTGATAATCATCGCGCCACCTACGCTCCATGAGCAGACGGGTGAATCACTTGGCTACCACGCTGCAGATTCATTCATCTTTTGTGGGCAGCATGCGCTATTTCTGATAGAGGCGGAGTCTCCGAGGGATTGGGATCAACCTCAGGCACTTGTCGGATCACAGCGAGGAAGAGCTCGGATCTACTTCGGGTTTAGGATACTTGGGCAAAGCCCCATATCCATTGTTTGAGGAAGTGTTGCCTTTGCCGCTGTGGGTCGACTGTGCCACGTTTGGGTGGTGGGGGGGAGGGTGGGTGGGGTGGGGAGAGAGGATTAATTGTGCCATTTCGATTACGTGCGGGCCAAACTTTGGTCACTGCTGACCTCTTCGCACACGATTTCTCGCTTTTTGGCCTCTCATGGAAAGCACTGTTTCTGAGCATTGTTGACTATTTTACAGGGCGTGCTGGAGCAGAATCAGCGGCATTTACAGCACTTTTGGCACTTTGCATCAGCAAAATCTCTTTTCTTTCCGGGTTCGGGTGGGGGTGCGGGGCACTGATTCCATCTTTTGCCCCTGTGCTGCTTCCTTGGTTGAGCATGCGTGTCGACACTATGTAGAGTCCCTTAACAGCAAGCGACGAGAGGAGGCACGAGCGTTTGTTGCAGGTCAGCTAAGTCGGAATCCACGCAGTAATGGGATGCTCAGGAAGTGACAGATCTTTTGCAGGGGTCAGGTGTAGGGGGGTGTGAGGGGGGGGGGGGTGTAGAGGGGTGTAGGTAGGGGGCAAGGACAGGGGGAAGGGGGTACACCTAATATGCGAAGGGCTTCCCAAAGCACCTTTGTGCTTGAACGCTATATGGGCCAACGGTTAAGAGGTCTTGATCCAAACCAGGCCTACTCGTCTGTTCGTATCCGATGTCCCGTTCCTATTCCCTGCGAGTCTGACCAAAGTTGGTTCAAGTTTACCTCGACATGCTTGGCAAATGTGTGCGTCCATGGCACGAGCTTTGCATGTGGGCATGCTGAGGCTTGGACACGTACAAGACGCGTGTGTGGACGCGTGTCGAGCAAGTTGCACACCTGTCGGCGCATGGAATCGACAGCTTATTCTTCTACAAGTCTGGATCTTACCATCAGCCTACTGTTCTGCACAGAGAGACAGCTGCAGGTCACTGCACGCAGTTTTGGAATCTCCGGTTTCTGTGTTGACAGACAGCCTTCTCAGTGCGACACGGCATTCGGCACGCCAACGGCCATGCGTCCAGCCAAAAGATTCCCCACATGACAATCCAGGCCAACTGGCTTGGAGCCAGTCGATCTCAAATGGATGGAGGACAAGTGAACTTGTGATTGCGGATCACAGCCGTGAGCCAACATGTTAGTAGCTAATTTGAGGACGTGGTGCGGGTTTTCGACGGGCAGACTACGTGCTGTCACCGAAGGCACCGGGGCCTTTCAATCAGATTTACCCAAAACACTTTGGTCTTTCAGGAAGATAGGATTTGCGCTCTTGCTCCACATTAGAGCTCGTTGTTGTCTCCTGCGCCTGACCACAGGCACGAGAATTTTGGAGTTTGCGAGACCTGGCGGCATTAGTTTAGCCGAAGTCAGTAGTGGGTGTTGCAATCGCCCCAGCGAAGCCCAGATGACACATCAGGAGTGTGTGTGTGTGTAGGAGCAATTGAGCGGCAGCGACGCGTGCTAGCATGAGTAATACCATGTAGTGCCACTCGTAATTAGATTGAAATGCATCTCAGCACGGGTGACGCTGCGACTAGAGGTGCACATAGGATTACTTGCATAGCAGAGAGTTCTCTGCAATATGCTGCTCTGGCGGACTCGATGTCAAAAGTAGTGATCGCAAGCGATTCCCCAGGGTGCAGTAATGGCGGTCGTATTCGCAAGAGAAGACTAGTACAATGAGCTGTTGTATTTAGTCCCAGTAGCATCAACACTGGTAACGGTAGCTTGAGCAGTGCTTGTCGCCTCTTATCGGACAGCGAGCAGTATCTGTCATAGGTCCCCCAATGCGTGGTCCCCCAACCGGCCCCACCGCGCCCAGGATCGTGAGCAGCTTGTTCTGCCATTGATCGGCCTCTACTACCGCGTGGCTGCTGCGGAGAGACGTGCCCGGGAAGAATCACCCTAAACCCTAAACCCTAAACCCTAAACCCTAAACCCATGGACACAAAACTCTGTCCCTGAGGTGGTGTTGACAGTAACGAGGGAACGGGGATCCTGTACGGCATGATGCAGCGGAAGCGGGAAGCGATTTTCCCTCGAACCTTTGACCACATCTCCTTGAAGGATGGAGTCGAGGCAGCGAACTGAGACGAAGACCTAGCCTGATAAATTCCTGTCCAGGGTTTAGGGTTTAGGATTTAGGATTTAGGGTTTAGGGTTGAGGGTTGAGGGTCTAGGGTTTAGGGTTTAGTGTGTCCAGTCCTCACATGGGGTGGGGTGTCTCTAAGACTTGGTCCCCTTTTTGCAGTTCCGAATCACAACACGGAGCCTGAGATTTAGGCCACTCAGTAAAAGGGGCCCATCATTTGGGGAAGTGTCCTGTATGGGGATGCCTGTTCAAATTATTATTATTATTATTATTATTATGATTATTGTTATGATTATTATTATGATTATGATTATGATTATTATTATTATTTTATACGTCTGTATATACATATATATATATATATCTATATATGAGCGCCTGCCTAAATTATGTTTGTCTAAGCCAGTACTACGGTGGACACGAGTTGTTAAACCATGAAAAGCGATATGGGCCCCACCTAAAGCGACAACATTAGTTGGCACATTCAGACACATGTATCCGGAGCCCCATAGTATGTAAAGCGATATGGGCCCCACGTAAAGCGACAATATAGTATTCCGCGACCTCGCACTGCGTAACGTGATTTTGTCCGTCGCTCATATATATATATATATATATGGACACACCCCCCCCCCCCCCCCCCTGACCTACCCAGATCTGTTTCCCTCGTAAATACCGTTTAAAACCCCCTCGTGCCGTATGCCGTTTTTTGCTACTCTCAGTGGAGCAGTGGTTTGTCTATGAAAAATCATCTTTTTTCGAGGCAAAACCAAAAAAAAAACAACTTTTTCAACATCCACCCCCCATTCTCTCAAAAAGATGTTCTTTTTTGGTTTTTTGGCTCTGCCTCGCAAAAGATGGTTTCGGAGACAAAAACTAACTTTTACCTGGCAAAAAGGTTCTTTTCCTGAGGCAGACCAGGCCAAAACCATCTTTTTACAACGGAAAAGTTGGTTTGTCTATGAAAAACCATCTTTTTGCGAGGCAAAACCAAAAAAACCATCTTTTTCAACATCCACCCTCCATTCTCTCAAAAAGATTGTTTTTTTGGTTTTGTGGTTTTGCCTCGTAAAAGATGGTTTCGGAGACAAAAACCAACTTTTCCCGCGCAAAAAGATGGTTTTCCTGAGGCAGACCAGGCCAAAACCATCTTTTTACGGGGGAAAAGTTGGTTTGTCTATGAAAAATCATCTTTTTTCGAGGCAAAACCAAAAAAAAACAACTTTTTCAACATCCACCCCCCATTCTCTCAAAAAGATGTTCTTTTTTGGTTTTTTGGCTCTGCCTCGCAAAAGATGGTTTCGGAGACAAAAACTAACTTTTACCTGGCAAAAAGGTTCTTTTCCTGAGGCAGACCAGGCCAAAACCATCTTTTTACGAGGGAAAAGTTGGTTTGTCTATGAAAAACCATCTTTTTACGAGGCAAAACCAAAAAAAAACATCTTTTTCAACATCCACCCCCCATTCTCTCAAAAAGATGTTTTTTTTTGGTTTTTTGGTTTTGCCTCGTCTTTCTCTCGGGCCGGAACCGTTCAGGTCTAAGTTTAGCTGTCCAGCGAACGGTTTTCTTTCGAAGCAGGACGCGTCAGCTTGCTTGGAGGCTCTTTCTTTTCAGCGGGAAAAGGTTGGTTTTGGTCAGTCTTATATTAATCTCAGTAGCATTCCTATTCCCATTAATGTTAAAGGGTTCCTAATCATCTTTATTGGATTTCTTTTCAGTTTATTTAAATTCTTATGAACTTTCAGAGGGTTCTTATTCAATGCCAGAGGATTCTTAATACTTTTCAATTGGGTTCTTCTGCATTTCAAATCATGTTAAAGTGGTTCTTTTAATTCCAATACATTTTGTCTGAAATTCAAAAGGGCCCATACTTCTTTCTTAGGATTCATATTGGTCCTTATTCATCTTGGTGAGTCTCCAAGTAATTTTAATGGTATTCTTAGAAATTTGAATAGCATTCCTAGTCCTATTGATTCTAATAGGAATCACATTAAGTCTAACGGAAGCCTAGAAGGATCGAAAAGGAACCACATTGATTTTTATAGGATCCCTATTGTTTCCCATTTATTTTAGTAGGAATCCTCTTCATTTTAAAAGGATCCCTATCAATTTGTAACAGGGTTCCTATGAATGTTACTGGGGTTCCTAGTAAATTCCGATTGATGCTAAAGGGTTCCTAACCATCTTAATAGGACTCCTCTACCATTTAATAATATTCTTATGAACGTTCATAGGGTTCTTGTTCAATGTAGTAGGATTCCTAATCTTTTTTTGAATAGGGTTCTTACAAGTTTCAACAAGGTTCTCAATCATTTTAAAGTGGTTTCTTTTGGTTTCAGTAGGGCCCCTCTGCAAATTAAAAGGACTCATACTTCTTTCTTAGGATTCATATTGGTTCCTATTCATTTTAATGAGCCTCCAAGTAATCTTAATGGTATGCTGGGAAATTTGAATAGGCTTCCGAATTAATGGGAATCACATTCATTCTAACAGGGAGCCTAGAAATCCGAACCACATTATTTTATAGGATTCCTATTGGTTCCCATTAATTTTAGTGGGATTCCTCTTCATTTTATAAGGACCCCTGTTAGTTTGCAACAGGGTTCTCATGAATTTATTGGTGTTGCTTATAAATTCCTATTAATGGTAGGACCCTCTTCATGTATAAAAGATTCCTCTTAATTTGTAACAGGGTCCTTATGAATTTTAGTGGGGTTCCTCATGGTTTGAGTAGGATTTTAATTCATCATAACAAGAGTAAGGGAAATATTAATAGGATTCCTATTTAGATTTTATAGACTTCCCACATTCCCATGAATTCAACAAGGGCCCCTTTTCATTTTCGCAGGCTTCCTACTATTCTTCATGGGGCCCTATGAGTTTTTTCTATATTTAATAGTATTCCTATGACGTTTGATAGAGAGTTCCTATGACTCAAATATGATTCCAAGTCATTTGTCCTATTAATCCAATAAGATTCCTATTCATTCCAATAAGAGTCTTATTGATTTTAATAGGGTTCGTTTTAATTTTCATAGGCTTTTCATTCAATTAATAGCATTCTTGTTAAATTCATACGAACCCTATGAACCCTTCTAACTTTAGTAAGAACCATGTTAAAACTAATAGGACCCCTAGAAATTTCAACGCAATCCACAATCTCGAGCAAATTGTTCAGGTCACTTCTGTTGGAGCAATCGCTCCGGCAATTGCTGGGTGGATCATTGCTAGAGCAGGACTTTTTAAACTTAGTAGGTTGATTGAACTAAACCCATTCAAAACCAATTAAATGAATGAACAACATTCAATCTATTAAGTTAAACTCACGAAATTCATTAAACTAACATTATGCAAAGTATCTAAATTAACTAAATTAGTCCATGACCAAACCATGAGGCTACGTCTATACTAGCACAACATCTTAGTTGCTGAGTTCATAGGACCCCCAAAATGTGTACACTTTCACTTCTATAGGGGATTATGGTAGCCCAAAAAGTGTAAAGTGTACTCACACAGCTAGTAAGAAATTGGGATTCCTCACTCCGATACAGCCTCCCGGTAGGTCATGGGGGGGAGTGTGAGCACATATATATATATATAATATATATATATATAATATAATATATATATATATAATATATATATATATAATAATATATATAATATATATATATATATATATATTTTTCCCGCGAGGTCAAAAAGAAGAAGGTTCTCTTCGGCGACTTGTTGGAGCGCGTTGACATTCACTTGGAGCACATGAACAATGCCGCTTGGCACAAGTGCCCACATGGGGGGGGGTTTCCGAAAATAGGGGGTGCCCTTTCTGCGAGGGTCCTTTTAAGGGGATTCTATTCTATTTGGGGTAGAGAAGGGGTACCCGTATTTTGGGAAATAGCCATACGGCCAAGACAGGAGAGACCAGCAGACTTCTCAGCCACGAGCTTCTGAGAAATCTCGAAATGGGAGTTTATGAACATAGGGGGCCCCCAATATAGATCCCCAAGTAGCAGGATCCCCTTTTGTCATCTGGAACCCCAAAAAGGGTACCCCGAATTTCGGAAGCCACACAATCAATCCTGCGCTCAAAGTTCGAAGGATGTGCTTCTTGATTTCGTTCGTCATCCAACCGGCTCGTCGTCAATGTCTCCTACTCTTCGTCGGGGAGGCTTAAGCCCAGGAGGCACCCGGACTGCATTCAGACCAAGCTTTCCGCAATGGATTCGGGTTTAGGCTTAAGCTTTAGGCTTTAGGCTTGGGGGTTGAGGGTTGAGGGTTAGGGTTTGGGGTTTAGGCGCAGCTGCACATGTCATAGCAGTGACAAGCCTAGATTTCCCATGCTCAAGGGTAGCAGCCGATCGCAAAGCAAGAACGAAGCGTAGCAGATTCTCTTTGGGATGGCTGCAGCCCTTCAATAAATTCAACGGCAAGCCGGCACTGTCGTTGCTTCTTGTCTTCATGTTTTCCAAATTGCCTGCTTTGGCGTACTTTGGCATCCTGTCCAGGTAACTTCCCATTATCAGGAACGATGTCCGCGGGCCTTGCTGAGCGAATCGAGAGACACAGAGGGCTGAGTGACATCTCCGTGGGCGATGACTCCGACTATCGAGAGTACGAGGCGAGCACCCTCGCTCAAGTGTGTCCCCCAGAGCCCGTCCCCAGCAAACGGACAAAAGGGACACCAGGTGTGTTTTTTCAGGTGGAGCGGCGTTACATCAATGTGATTCAAGGTCCCTAGACCCTAAACCCTAAACCCTAGACCCCATTCGATACTCCGTCCCTGGAGGCCCAGTCCTGCAGCGAGCTGATCATAACTCGAATGTGAGTGCGACAAGGCGCCATTGTGTCACTTGCCCCTTAATCTGTATTATACTATTATATTGTTCGATGGATGTTTTTTGTATTGTCGTAGTTTATTACTAGGTAGTTTGTTGCATGATCATACCGGCTGCCAGTGACTTGAATCGTCACCCGTGCTGGGCAGGATACTGGAGCTGC